GGGGGATTTAGGAACTAGAGGAAAGTTGTATGTTTCTGTTCTTGTTTTTATTTAACTGTTTTTGGAGTTGTAATGAATTGTCTACAGAGTAGATTTGCGTCTTTGTAGAGCAGAGCATGTACACAGGTACAGATAAGAGGTGGAAACACAGGGAATCCAGGACAGATGAACCCCTCAGGACCAATATTGAGAGTAGCCATACCAGGAGGGAAGAGGAAGGTGGGGAGAGATAGGGGGAACTGATCACAATGATCTAAGTGGGTGAAGGGAGATAGCGGTCAGTGTAAGACATGAAAGAAAAAAAAAAGAATTATCAAGGTTCATGAGGGAGAGAGGGTGGGGATTGGAGGGGGAAAATGAGCTGATACCAAGGGCTCAAGTAGAAAGGAAATGTTTTGAAAATGATGATGGCAACAATTGTACAAATGTGCTTGACACAATGGATGGATGGATGGATTGTGATAAGCGTTGCAAGAGCCCCCAATAAAATGATTTAAAAACAAAACAAACAAAAGGTAGAGTTGTTCTTGGAGGCAGTTAACCATGTATTCTGCTTTCTCCTCCTATTCCTAATCCCTCTTCTTCCTCTGTTGCTCCAAATGAAGAGAGACTGATTGTTGGACCTTGCTTGGCTGTTGGCAAGCCTTTCGTACCCAGGGCAGTAGTCCTCAGTACTCAGCAAGTACAAAAACAAAAACCTAAATCTAGAAGTCAGCATGATCAACAAGACTTGTGTAATAGTTGATTTTATCTGCTGGCTACACTCCTTTTTACCATCATAACATTGCCTATTTTGTAATTACGAGGCTTTTTTGTTTCACCAAAATTTTGTGTCTCCATCTCCATTGTTCACAGATGTTTGTCTGATGTAAGAGGAAAGGAATCGGTAATTGCAAATTAAAATAAAAATTTTAAATATTTTTATTAATTTCAGGAGTTAAGAAGGCTCCATTCCTTTTCACCAAACCAGTAGACTCTGCTTTCAGCTTAGAAAGTATGACATATGTTGGTTAGAAACAACTAGCTGGTGTTTAAAACTGAAAATTGACCAGGTAATTTAACCTAAGGCCTGTGCTGAAATACAGTTGCCTTGGAAACATTAATTTGGGTAAGCATTTTTAATAAAGGAGAAGTATACTGTTAAAATGGGAAGGTAAGCAGCAGAGCCAAGTTAAGGCTTATGCATCTTACTGTTGCATAAACAGGTGGCCAATTAAAAAACCTAGGCTGGAGGTTGTCCTGTAACCACCATGAGTTACATGTAATTTTTATTTGGAATTGACTGCACCCTGAACCCTCAAGACCCGTGTTTCATTCATCAGGTATCAGATTAACGTGATTGTCTACTGTGCCCGATTGCTGTTTATTGCATTGCTTCTTTCTTTTTTTAAATCATTTTATTAGGGGCTCATACAACTCTTATCACAATCCATACACACATCAATTGTGTAAAGCGCATTTGTACATTCA